GATACGCCTTTATCAAGAGCTGAACCGTGTCTGTGCTGTAGGCTGATTATAAAGGGAGATAGCCACTCCCTTTCAGTGGGGGCAGCCAATCCCCATCTTGGAGATGCCCTTTTAGGGCGTACTGTCTCCTCTTAGCCAGTAAAGTGTGAAGGGGGCGTGGCCACGTCCCGATCAACGGGCGGCACTGATCCGCCTATAGTGACTCCCATATTCCAGCCCCGGGGAGGAAGGAAGGCGTGGCAGTGTCTGGATTATATCAATAAACTTGGCACAGATCCGTACATAGTTAATCCTCCAATGGGACGCAGGGGGAGAGGCTTAAGGGTACGTCATCAAGCCCCACTGGGCTAGCTTAACACGTGTCCTGCCATTCCTCCTGTGTCTCTCACAGAACATGTCCTCCAATAGAACACGGGTGGAGGGGCCTAACGGCATGTCACTCCACTAAGTAAACAAACAGAGATAAAGCCTCATAAAAATTAAAAATTGGTTAAAAAAAATGTTACAATTTAATATTATTCAAAATGCCTTTATTTCATATCGATCTGTGTCTTAAAACCAAAAAGACATGAAACAAAGAGTTGTAATAGAATCGAACTCTATAAATAACCAGTTAGTGTATTTAATTAATACAAATCAGAGACCAATATATCTCCAAATAAGATCTTAAAGGAGAATGAACAGATGGAGTTATCCAGCACAGTACTAAGGTCCATTTCGCCATATTTGTTAAAAGTCACACTAGCCCCCCAGAAATGTTACATTAATTTATCATTTATTCTAAATTTTAATAAACATAATTAAGAAAATATAATCCAACATAACAGCCACATAGGAAATAGGGAATTGAATAGGAAAAAAAAAAAGAGAAGAAAAAAGGAAAAACGAAAAGACTCCAAATAGCAGTTGTTGTATAAATACACCTGTTTAGATAAATGGAGAAAAAGAGAAACCTTTAAGGTTTAAGGTTTAAAGTATTAAGTCTATAAATCCATCTGCATTCTCTTTGACGTAAGATTTTATCAAAGTCACCCCTTCTTTGTTCCCGCTTAACCAATTCAAGGCCGCAGAAACGTATATCCTTAGAGGATCCCCCATGGTGTTCTTTAAGATGTCTGGAGATTGTAGTCTCCAGACGATTTTTGGTACATCTCACGTGTTCCTTAATACGTTCCTTAAAGGGCCGGAACGTCTTTCCCACATATAGCAATTTACAACTGCAGGTGAGAAGGTATACCACCCCTTCAGAATTACAGTTGAAAAAATGTCTAATTTGAAAAGACTGTTTACCTTCACTGTCACTGACTTTTTTGAGTCCCTTAGAATGTATCTACAAGCTACACATCTTCCACAGCTGTAGGTACCTATAGGAATATGTCGCCCCAGCCATGTAGGTTGAAGGTTTTGTTTGGCCGAAAAATGACTGGAAACTAGAATGTCACGTAAATATTTCCCTCTTCGAGCTGTAATTGTAACATGTGGGCCCAGTACTTATTTTAAATGAACATCCTTAAGTAAAATCGGCCAGAATCTTTGCAGGGACTCTTTAACTTTATTCCAGCCAGTGTCAAAAGTTCCTATCATCCTAATAGGGGTTTTTTAGGTGATTTTAGAATCATGGGAGTCTGATAAAAGATCCACCCTGTTTGTCATAAGTGCCCTTTATATGCCCTTTTTATGCATTTATTCGGGTATCCCTTCTCCTTAAATTGTTGCCTCAGAAGATTGGCTTTAATCTGAAATTCTTCCAGGTCTGAACAGTTTCGTCGTAGTCTGAGATATTGACCAGTCGGGATCCCTTGTTTAAGGGATCTTGGATGATGGCTATCCCATTTCAATAAAGAATTTGATGCAGATGGTTTCCAAAATAGGGTTGTCTTGAGAGAGCCATCTTTACAGATTGAAATTGTCAGATCTAGAAAGTTCAGGGATGAACCGCCAAATTCAGCGGTGAATCTGAGGTTATCTTCATTAGCATTTAAAAGAGAGACAAATAGGTTAAATTCATCGATGTTGCCCTGCCAAACGATCAGGACATCATCGATGTACCTATACCAAGCAGTGATCTTTGATAGGAACAATGACAGTGTGCTGGATGTCCTAATATGTTCTTCCCACCAACCCAGGTGGAGGTTGGCATATGATGGTGCACAAGCCGTGCCCATCGCCGTCCCTCTCACCTGGTGGTAGAATTTTTTATTGAACAAAAAAAAGTTATGTGACAAAATAAAGTTCAACAAATTTGTAACAAAGTCAGTGTGTGCCTGATAATCTGGGCCCCTTTTTGTTAAGAAGTATTTAGTGTGTTCAGTTCCCTTTTGATGTGGGATAGAAGAATATAACATTTCCACGTCCAGGCTACAGAGATTAGATGTAGGTGGAATCTGAAGATTAGAAAGGAGATGTAAAACCTGTTTTGTATCTCTAATATACGAAGGTAGGCATTCCACAAAAGGTCTCAGAATCTGGTCGATGTAAAGACTACGTTCTGAGTCAAGCTGTCAATCCCCGATACTATGGGACGACCTGGTGGATCGTGGAGATTTTTATGGACTTTCGGGAGGCAGTAGAAGGTTGCTATCCTGGGACACCGGTTGAAAATGAAGGTGTATTCCTCATCGGACAGCAAACCTTCCCTGCGACCCTCATCCAAAATCTCTTTATAACTATTAAGGAAGGCATTGGTGGGATCTGATTCTAAAATCCTATAGGTGTCTTTATTACTCAGGACATCCTGAACCATTTTTTCATATTTGGAATTATCCATCACCACAACATTGCCTCCCTTATCTGCTTGTTTGATAGTTATCATATTGTTATCCCTTAAAGATTTTAGAGCTTTCTGTTCCTTACCAGAGAGATTCTCATTAGGGAAGGAATCCAGGTTTTTAACTTCTATACTGTCAATCTCATTTTTTACTGCTTCCAGAAACAAATCAATGTTTCTGAAAGTTGAAAAATTTGGTGTAAAGCGACTTTTTGGTTTAAGTTCTGTATATTTAAAAGATGGTTGACTTTCATTTTCTTCAAGTAAAGATACCAAGTTGTTGAGGCATTCTACATCACCACTCGAAAGACCTAAAGATCTTGCCTTTCTTTCTTTGTTCACTTCGTGGAATTTATGTAGTGCTAGTTTCCTTACAAAGAGATGTAAATCTTTTACCCATGTAAATCTATCAAAAGCTCGGGTCGGGACAAAAGAAAGACCATTTTCCAAAACTTTATAATGAGAGTCACTAAGTTGGAAGGAGGAGAGGTTGATGATTTGTAATCTAGGGATGTCAGTAGGATGAGGGATCAAATCATTAATTAATAACGTCTCCCTCTTTCCCCCCTCCTCCCTTCTCTCCCTCTCTGAGTCCTTGATTGATATCGTGTTTGATAGTTTGGATATTCCTCCTGATGACCCATCTCTAAAAAATCTACTCCTTTTTTAAGAATACTTTGGGGATTGCTAGTATTAGGAGTTGTAGGAGTTGTAATTTGTGAATTTGAAGGTGCATTGCTTGAATCGGTATCGGATGAGTCATATTCTGAGGTCATATAATTCTCAGAATTATGTCTCAGTCGCCGATTTGGAAATTTATAGATATTGCCCGTCTGATAATCCCGAGAGTCCCTAATGAATTTCTGGTGTTTCCTGAACTTAGTCGATTCTTGGTATCTATCTAAATTCAATTTTAGTTTATTTTCCAAGTTAAAGAAGTTAGGTTCGCTCTTAAACTGATTTAGTTTCTCAATTTTGTAACCGTGTGTGGTTCCCTTATTTACCACTATAATGTCTTAAAGCATAGAACTTAGTAGGGCTAACCATACAGATATCTTAGCCATAATTTTATATAGTGTAAGAGATCCTCTATTTAACAGATATAAATAATTGAGAATACAATATAAAATAAGGATTGTCTTGGAAGCAAGATTGTCTTTTGGATATTTATTATATAAAAATATAAAATCCATTATAGCAGAGTTTATAAGATTAAATTACATGCTTGCAAATATCATTAATAGGTTAACATACCCTTCTGAACATATCATCATGTCAGCCTCTCTGTCATTTTAAGATGGAGCAGCGTCTGTCTCCAAGTCTCTCCTCTGTGTCTTAACATTTAAAAGTACACCTATTTATACCTTAGGTGTCTCCATTTTAGGTTACTGTAGTTCAAATATGAAAAAGTAACACTTCTTTTACTTTATTCAATTTAGGACCTCCCTTAACTTGGCAAACATACAAGGCCATAACTAAAGGGTGTATACGTCATGGAAATTTTCCTGACTTAGTACAAGATGGCATCTTAAAGTCTGAATAGGTTATCTGTTGTTTATACTAAGTCGTAAGTGTACAGTCGTGGGAGATTCCAGGATTTGGGGTTACCACAGTATATTGTGTACTGCAAGAGTCGTAGCAAAGCCTTGAAGCTTGTTTATGCATTATTGTTATTGTAATTCGTCTGGGACAAAACGGCGCAAACATATTATGCACTGAGGTTATTGCTTAAAGAAACAGTTATGAAAAACAATGTTCCATGTCTAACACCTTGTCAGTTTGCAATATCTCTTAAAGACAAAGTACACAGTTTAAGAAATACAACATTTCATTCTAAAACTTGTAATATTTGCATTTGCCCGTAACACCCTCTCCATTAAACTGTGGGCATTGTAGAGCATTTCTTCCTTAAATTAGTAAACTAAAGTTCTCCAACTGTCTTTAGGTTTTTGTGCTCCCAGCATCTTTGATCATTGTTGTAACAGTAAAATATCCGTAGTGTGATCTTTGCCTGTAAAAGTGGTTGATTAAAATGAGCAAAGCTTTTGTCTGGGAAAGAATTGAAAAGAACACCAAGTTCCAGAGTAAGATATTCTTGGATAGATCCGGATACGAATTGTAATCCAAAGTTAAAAATAGTAATTTTATTTGTAATCCAAAGTCTTTAAAGGCCTGTAGAAGTTTACATTCCTTAGATACATTGCTGGAGGTTGTGTTTGTAGAATACCCGGGTATTTGTTGTAGAGTATAGGTTGTAGAGTCCAGCTTTCCAAGTATTTGGCTAGAATTGGTTGCAGATATTGAATCAGCATCATCTGTTATCACCGTGGTGATGGTGTTGGTTTTTGTCTTTGTCTTTTGTCTTTGCTTTTTATTTTGTTTGTTTTTTCCATGAAACATTTTTACACCGTTTATGATGTGTATAGATTGGATACTCTCCGATATTCTTTTACGGAATCAATTAATTGACAGCATTTCCAAGACATTGTCTTAAGTGACATAGATCCCGTTATAGTAAATGTTATGTTGATACAGCAATCGAAGTGGATTCTCAAGAACGCCTCTTTTTGCTGTATTGGAATCTTTGTAACATCTCAGTGATAGACATCTCAATTACATCAGGTGCTGTTGTGCTAAAAATGTTAACAGGTAAAATCTGTGGAAAAATCTTTACATTTGTTATACTTTGTATAATAATGATAGATGAAATAGTAACATAGTTAATCTTTCTAGTGTTTTGTTTTAAAGATAAACACCCTTGTATATGATTTAGATATATAAGGATAATTTGAAGCAGCAAAATATTTACCACCTTTGTTCACAATGGTATGTAAAATTACATCCTCTTTAAATGTAAAAAATACTCCTTTATTCAAAATCTCTCAATATATTTAGAATAGTTGATAATTGGAAATATGACGTTAATTATCTTTCTTTGTCCTGTTAGGGAGAAGACAACTTATTCCCTAAGTTATAATTAGTAAATATAATAACTACAGTTATTAGTGGCTTAAAATACCAGAAACACCCAAAAATTGTCTTAGAAAACATTTTTTTATTTTTTATTTTTTTTTAACCAAGATCTGACAGCCATTGTGGAAAGCTACATTCGTGAGATTGGATGCTTAACAATGTGAATCTTAATTGTTTAAGTGTATTTTTCAGTGGCTGTTGGATGTAGCTTAAGATGATTAGAATTTGTATTATTATTTCTAAAAGTGAGTTAAGAAAGCACTCAGATACAATATTGAATGTATTTATATTTTAACTCTACCTTTGTATAGGTGGTTTATGTACCTTTAACCATTACAAACCAAATTACATTTTCTTTGTATTTGAAAAACTGATAAAATATTTGATTACGTGTATTTTAATATATATATATATACATAGAGTGGTATGGATGTTGAATTTATATCTTTGACATCTTTTCACAAGTTTGCAATAGGTGACCTAACTTATCTTTCTTTCCATTGACTGGCCTTAGCTCTGGCAGACTGAATATTTTTATCATTATAAATAAACTTTATGATAGTTGAAGTAAAGTTTCTGCCTGTCCTAACTGTTTTTAACTGTTGAAGTATTTCACTTATATTAATTATACCACTCTGCAAACTTAAACGAATATCGAGTAGTTTCTGTTTTAATAAAAACATTTTATATTTTCTTCTAAAGTTTAAACCTTATTCATTATTGCAGTTGTTATTGCAATCATATGATCTTTAACTATCATGATTCAATTATTTATCTGGGTAATAAGCTAGTATGCTCTTATACGTAAGTTTAATATATTTGTTTTGTAGGCCAGACTGCAGCTGCATATGGCATTTTAGCAATAATCTTCAATTGCGTTTCAGATATTCACAAAGTCTATCCACCTTTGTAATTAACACATTATGTGTTTCTTATACCATTAATTATAGTATCTCTATTATATTACACATTATCACTGACACATTTCTGATACAGGGAAAAAAATGGCATGATTGCTTTAGTAATTATAATTTTTCTGTCCATGCACCACATTCCTGGAAGTCCAGAATATAGCAAGAATCCTTTGTCGTTTGATTCTATGGAGCCATTTAACGTTTTGATTGGTATAGTTATACCAAAAGAGCAAGGAGTACGACGGTAGATCACATCTGCAACAGAACCATTACATATTCTTTGTTGTATCAATGTCTCTGTGTTTATGTTTACAGGAGGTCCTTGCTTTGCAGGTATGTACATAATATGTAGAGTTTTAGAAAAGCTGCAAATCGTGCTTTAATACAAGTGTCCCGTGATGTCAGGTTTCTGAAAGATTTTGCTGGTCTTTTTATATTCCATTCTCTTGGCAGGGCATCTGCTCTTAGTAAGCCGGTATTGTTATGATTTATTAATTGCATCAAGGTTTCTTTTGTTAATTGATGTGTTTCTACCAAATTCAAATTCATATGCCACCAAATGTCATTGTAAAGTTCATTGTTACAGAATATGGTTCAAGGATGGTTTTTCACTCCAGTAGGAAATCTATATTCCTCTTCTTCTGCTCCTTCCTATAAACCACTTTTTCTGAGTTGTAGGCAACAATCTGTGTCTTGTACTGTGAGGTGCTTTGATAGTCAATCAGGTTTTCTCAGTACCATGTTCCATCTTAAGAAATAGCTGGGTTTTGACAGTTATCAGCCTTTATTTCTTTTTCGGTCATCTTCTGTCTGGATAATAGCAATGTCCAGAATTAGCATAGCACTTCTTTTCAGCATAAGAAGGCTGTTTGCGGTAGTCATTCAATGATAAACTATATGGCAAAGTCTTTTCTTGCATCACCTTCATAGGTGCATCCAAAGCATCTGTCCCATCTTTTTCTGATTTCAGCATGCTTTGCCATCATCGTTGATTCCATTATTAGGATTTGTAATAGTCCAATCACATCTTTCTCATGTATAATCGGTTTTTGGAATGATCTCAATAGGTTCCTTGTGAAATATCAGTGTAGGCAATCATTTCACTGTGAGCTGTGTCTCTCCTTTTGGGATGGTTCTTGGAGGTAGTCCTCACGATCACAGAACTTGTATAGTGTGCAGTCCAATTCAGTTCAGGTGCTTCCTGCTTGTTAACATAATCCCAATGCAGTTTTAAAACGACAGCTAGGGTTGATGTTATGATAATGCTGCAGATTGTAAGAAGGAGACTCCAATTTTCTAGCATCCTTTTGCTTCCATCTTTGAATTTCTTTCTTACTGTATAAGATAATTCAGGTTCAGTCTGTTTTCTCCAGAGTCTTTCTTATAATGATGTTGATGATTCATTTTCATACATTCCATGTTAACTGTGAATGTATCACGTCTGTCTGTTCATCCTTCTCCTTCACATTTGCAGGTTCAGATGTCAGATCATGATTCAGTCTGTCTATGATTCTGGTGGCTTTTCTGTCGTCCTCTGTTTGTTTTATCTTGCCATCTTTAACAGCATCCATTGTATCAGTCAGTGGTTCTGTGAATGTCCTGTTAATATTTAGCAGGTTGTAAAATATCAAAACTTACTGTTCTCTGTTGGGTCTGATTGTTCTCTGTAGTAAAAGTTCTTGGTATCTCTGATTGTTCTCTGTAGTAAAAGTTCTTGGTATCACCCTCTCCAGGACAAACTGGCCAACAGAAGGAAATAGGTGGTGGTGCAAGGCGAAGTGGACTGGAAAAAAAAAAATTCCCTAAATTTCTCTAATAGAACCAATGGTTCTAAGCTCTCCCTGGTGCAGAAATATAATTGTCAGTGAAAAACATGTAACATTTCATATGGTGTCTCACCATTTGTATCATCAGGTATGTTGTGAATGCTTATCTGTACCATAGGAATAAATAGATACCACTGTGTGGGGCAAGCAACTAGTAACTTGGTTAATAATCATTTAACCTCAGCATTCTCCCAGACCACAACCCCACATCTTTGGGGGTGGTTGGGGCACTGAAATCCCAAAGTAACCCAAATGTGGTTGCCCAGTTTTAGGTTTCCTTTGCAGTAACTGCAGGACCACCATCCAAATGGATGGTCCTGGGATTACCAAATGCATACTAAGGAAGTGAGACTAGAAAACGTGGCATCAGAGGTTGCACTTCTTGCGCTTCTTTGGAGGTGACCACTGAAAAGTATAGATTCTATAAAATAGATGTGAGGGGGCATTGGACCTTAATTATACTTTTCATATAGCAGATATGGGATATGCAATGTGATTTAATATATCAGAGTATTATCACTTTAATTGACACTATTCTTTATGCGTTATTCTTTTTCTTTTTTTCTTAAATTTTAATGTCTGTTTAGAATATTGCAGCCTTGCAATATCAAATTAATTTTGCATTATATGTGCTTTTACAACATATTAAAATTAGCCTCTTTCAGAATTGTAGAATATGTGGTGGAACTGAATCCCCATATATGAGATTTAAAACTGTATTTTTAGTTCTACTCTGTGCCCTAATCAGTATTTATATACATAATTGCGGCAACATATAGCTTTTAAATAAGCAATTATTTCACCCTTATTTCACGTGCGGTTGACTGTGGACTTTTTAAAACCTATTTTTTTTTATAAATCCAGTTCTGGCTCTGAGAGAGCAGGCTGCTGAATGCATGTAAATGCTGTTATTGCCTAGTCTATATACTTTTATTTATAAACAACATTGATATGTTTATATATAAACAACTTTGATATTTAATCTTATTTTTATGAAATTCACTGAGACTACATGTGTCTGATCTGATTACAGTCAGTAGTACAATATAATTGTTCTAATTTCCTTACTGCTAGCACGGTGGGATAGTACCAATGATTTAAGTAAGCTTTCCCTTTTAAAATTGGTGGACTTTACTGCCATTGCAATAGACTAAAGACTGTACCTAAGTAAGCAAAGTCATTATGTGCAGAAATTGTGCACTTTAAATAGTAGAATACTTATGCTATTCTAGTGAATTGGGCTGGCTGCTTAACACATCATTTAATATCTTTTGGTCACATTTAAAGCTGTAAATGTATTTAACATTTTATTTAAATAAGCCTTTAATAATTTCAGTTTAAAAGTTATTAGAGATCCTGTATAGTTACAATTTTATTTTGCCCTGATTTATCTTACATATATATTATTTTTAATCATTTTATCAATATTTATTTTTGCAGAGCATTTAGAGAAGCAAAGGATGTATAACCACCTGTTGCCCTTTTTTCTAGGAGGGTAGTATAATTTCAACTCTGTTTAGGAAAAAATATAAGCTAATTATCTTATATTATATAATATATATGCTGCAGTGTACTGCATTGTACTGCACTCAGTGTATTTAATAGCCATGTCTTTCTCTCTATGGCTGTATGTAATAATGTTGTTCATAATTTGGAATATAAAACAACGACTTCTCAATTCCTTGGAATGTTTACATGTCTCTGTATCTCTGCAACCTTGGCTGGAAATTCCAG